TCTGTCTGGTTGTCAGCTTTGTCTGGCTGTAAACTCTGTCTGGTTGTCAGCTTTGTCTGGCTGTATACTCTGTCTGGTTGTCAGCTTTGTCTGGCTGTAAACTCTGTCTGGTTGTCAGCTTTGTCTGGCTGTAAACTCTGTCTGGTTGTCAACTTTGTCTGGCTGTAAACACTGTCTGGCTGTAAACTTTGTCTGGCTGTAAACTCTGTCTGGTTGTCAGCTTTGTCTGGCTGTAAACCCTGTCTGGTGGTCAACTCTGTCTGGCTGTAAACTCTGTCTGGCTGTAAACTTTGTCTGGCTGTAAACTCTGTCTGGTTGTCAGCTTTGTCTGGCTGTAAACCCTGTCTGGTGGTCAACTCTGTCTGGCTGTAAACTCTGTCTGGCTGTAAACTTTGTCTGGCTGTAAACTCTGTCTGGTTGTCAGCTTTGTCTGGCTGTAAACTCTGTCTGGTTGTCAACTTTGTCTGGCTGTAAACTCTGTCTGGTTGTCAGTTTTGTCTGGCTGTAAACTCTGTCTGGTTGTCAGCTTTGTCTGGCTGTAAACTCTGTCTGGTGGTCAACTTTGTCTGGCTGTAAACTCTGTCTGGTTGTCAACTTTGTCTGGCTGTAAACTCTGTCTGGTGGTCAGCTTTGTCTGGCTGTAAACTCTGTCTGGTTGTCAACTCTGTCTGGTTGTCAGCTTTGTCTGGCTGTAAACTCTGTCTGGTGGTCAGCTTTGTCTGGCTGTAAACTCTGTCTGGTTGTCAACTCTGTCTGGTGGTCAGCTTTGTCTGGCTGTAAACTCTGTCTGGTGGTCAGCTTTGTCTGGCTGTAAACTCTGTCTGGTTGTCAACTCTGTCTGGTGGTCAGCTTTGTCTGGCTGTAAACTCTGTCTGGTGGTCAGCTTTGTCTGGCTGTAAACTCTGTCTGGTGGTCAGCTTTGTCTGGCTGTAAACTCTGTCTGGTTGTCAACTCTGTCTGGTGGTCAGCTTTGTCTGGCTGTAAACTCTGTCTGGTGGTCAACTTTGTCTGGCTGTAAACTCTGTCTGGTTGTCAACTCTGTCTGGTGGTCAGCTTTGTCTGGCTGTAAACTCTGTCTGGTGGTCAGCTTTGTCTGGCTGTAAACTCTGTCTAGTTGTCAACTCTGTCTGGTGGTCAGCTTTGTCTGGCTGTAAACTCTGTCTGGTGGTCAACTTTGTCTGGCTGTAAACTCTGTCTGGTGGTCAACTCTGTCTGGTGGTCAGCTTTGTCTGGCTGTAAACTCTGTCTGGTTGTCAACTTTGTCTGGCTGTAAACACTGTCTGGCTGTAAACTTTGTCTGGCTGTAAACTCTGTCTGGTTGTCAGCTTTGTCTGGCTGTAAACCCTGTCTGGTGGTCAACTCTGTCTGGCTGTAAACTCTGTCTGGCTGTAAACTTTGTCTGGCTGTAAACTCTGTCTGGTTGTCAGCTTTGTCTGGCTGTAAACCCTGTCTGGTGGTCAACTCTGTCTGGCTGTAAACTCTGTCTGGCTGTAAACTTTGTCTGGCTGTAAACTCTGTCTGGTTGTCAGCTTTGTCTGGCTGTAAACTCTGTCTGGTTGTCAACTTTGTCTGGCTGTAAACTCTGTCTGGTTGTCAGTTTTGTCTGGCTGTAAACTCTGTCTGGTTGTCAGCTTTGTCTGGCTGTAAACTCTGTCTGGTGGTCAACTTTGTCTGGCTGTAAACTCTGTCTGGTTGTCAACTTTGTCTGGCTGTAAACTCTGTCTGGTGGTCAGCTTTGTCTGGCTGTAAACTCTGTCTGGTTGTCAACTCTGTCTGGTTGTCAGCTTTGTCTGGCTGTAAACTCTGTCTGGTGGTCAGCTTTGTCTGGCTGTAAACTCTGTTGGTTGTCTCTGTCTGGTCAACTCTGTCTGGTGTAAACTCTGTCTGGTGGTCAGCTTTGTCTGGCTGTAAACTCTGTCTGGTTGTCAACTCTGTCTGGTGGTCAGCTTTGTCTGGCTGTAAACTCTGTCTGGTTGTCAACTCTGTCTGGTGGTCAGCTTTGTCTGGCTGTAAACTCTGTCTGGTGGTCAACTTTGTCTGGCTGTAAACTCTGTCTGGTTGTCAACTCTGTCTGGTGTCAGCTTTGTCTGGCTGTAACTCTGTCTGGTGTCAGCTTTGGTCTGGTGTAAACTTTGTCTGGCTGTAAACTCTGTCTTTGTTGTCAACTCTGTCTGGTGGTCAGCTTTGTCTGGCTGTAAACTCTGTCTGGTGGTCAACTCTGTCTGGTGGTCAACTCTGTCTGGTGGTCAACTCTGTCTGGTGGTCAACTCTGTCTGGTGGTCAACTCTGTCTGGTGGTCAACTCTGTCTGGCTGTAAACTCTGTCTGGTTGTCAACTCTGTCTCTGTCTGGGTGGTCAGCTTTGTCTGGCTGTAAACTCTGTCTGGTGGTGGTCAGCTTTGTCTGGCTGTAAACTCTGTCTGGTTGTCAACTCTGTCTGGTGGTCAGCTTTGTCTGGCTGGCTTGTAAACTCTGTCTGGTGGTCAACTTTGTCTGGCTGTAAACTCTGTCTGGTTGTCAACTCTGTCTGGTGGTCAGCTTTGTCTGGCTGTAAACTCTGTCTGGTGGTCAACTTTGTCTGGCTGTAAAACTGGTTGTCTTGTCTGGCTGTCAACTCTGTCTGGTTGTCAGCTTTGTCTGGCTGTAAACTCTGTCAGCTGGTGGTCACTCTGTCTGGTTTTTGTCTGGCTGTAAACTCTGTCTGGTTGTCAACTTTGTCTGGCTGTAAACACTGTCTGGCTGTAAACTTCTGTCTGGCTGTAAACTCTGTCTAGTTGTCAGCTTTGTCTGGCTGTAAACTGTCTTGTCTGGCTGTAAAACTCTGTCTGGCTGTCAACTTTGTCTGGCTGGTAAACTCTGTCTGGTGCTTTGTCAACTGTAAAACCCTGTCTGGCTGTAAACTCTGTCTGTAAACTCTCTCTTGTCAACTTTGTCTGGCTGTCAACTCTGTCTGGTGGGTCAGCTTTGTCTGGCTGTAAACTCTGTCTGGTTGTCAACTTTGTCTGGCTGTAAACTCTGTCTGGTTGTCAACTTTTGTCTGGCTGTAAACTCTGTCTGGTTGTCAGCTTTGTCTGGCTGTAAACTCTGTCTGGTGGTCAACTCTGTCTGGCTGTCAACTCTGTCTGGCTGTCAACTTGTCTGGTTGTCAACTCTGTCTGGTGGTCAGCTTTGTCTGGCTGTAAACTCTGTCTGGTGGTCAGCTTTGTCTGGCTGTAAACTCTGTCTGGTTGTCAACTGCCTGTTTGTTTGTCAACTTTGTCTGGTTGTAAACTCTGTCTGGTTGTCAACTCTGTCTGGTGGTCAGCTTTGTCTGGCTGTAACTCTGTCTGTGGTCAACTTGTTCTGGCTGTAAACTTTGTCTGGTTGTCAACTCTGTCTGGCAGCGTCAGCTTTGTCCTGGCTGTAAACTCTGTCTGGTGGTCAGGCTTTGTCTGGCTGTAAACTCTGTCTGGTTGTCAACTCTGTCTGTACAACTTTGTCTGGCTGTTGTCTGGCTGTAAACTCTGTCTGGTGGTCAGCTTTGTCTGGCTGTAAACTCTGTCTGGTGGTCACTCTGTCTGTTACAGCTCTGGCTGTAAACTCTGTCTGGTGGTCAACTCTGTCTGGTGGTAAACTTGTCTGGTTGTCAACTCTGTCTGGTGGGTCAGCTTTGTCTGTGCTGAAAACTCTGTCTGGTTGGTATGACATCTGTCTGGGGGTGGGGGTTGTCTAGTTCTTCAACTCCCCTGGTGGTCCCCTTTGTCTGGCCCCAATTCTAAATAACTCTGTCTGGCTGTAACTCTGTCTGGAAATAGGAGCTTTGTCTGGCTGTAAACTCTGTCTGGTGGTCAACTATCTTGGAGCTGGCTGTAAACTCTGTCTGGTTGTCAACTCTGTCTTTGGTGTTTTTTTCTGGCTGTAAACTCTTGTCTGGTGGTCAGCTGTTGATGGCTGTAAACTCTGTCTCTGTGTCAACTCTGTCTGGTGGTCAGCTTTGTCTCCAGGCCCCCAGTGTCTGGTCTGGTGGTCCCACTTTGTCTGGCAAGAATAAACCTCTGTCTGGTTGTCAACTTATTTGTTGTCTGTCTGTAAATAAAAATCCAGCTTTGTCTGTCTGTAAAACTCTGTCTCCAGTCAACTCTGTCTGGTGGTCACTCTGTCTGGTGGGAAACTCAGAGAACTCTGTCTGGTGGTCCTGAATTATGTCTGTGGTCAACAGAGAATTTAACATCATCTGCTTCTGGTTTGACTTCAGAGAACAAGTTCTGTGCACATTATTTTGACAGAGAATAAAGTAGAGTGTTGACTTCAGATTGGTTCCTACCTCTCAGCCTGATGACACTCTGTGCTTTGAAGAGAAATTGCCCTTTTGAATCATTTGACAAAGAATAAAGAAACATATTGACATAAGAATAAGACTGTGCCTGAATTACATTGAAAGACAGAGAATGAAAAATGTCTTCTCAGCATTCGGCAGCTGGAAACTTCAGCCAGAAGTTTGTTTATGTTCCAGACTTCAGTCTTGTTCCGGAACCTGAGTTCTACTTTCACATTCAGCCTACAGATGTCAATTATTTGCGTACGGTTGGTTTCTGGACTTTCAAGCAGATGCACTCTGACTTCGAAGTAAACACCTCTAATTAGTCGTCTTATACGACATGCTTTTAGGAGAGTGGTGGGTCTGACATGGTTTTGCTGGAGTTTACAGCCGCAGAAAGCTCGGCTCTCTAGCGTAGTTGGTTAAACCGGATTGCGCGGTGACCGGGTGACACTCTCTTTGTGGTCTTGGTTCACTCCCGGGGGTAGGCAGAAAAGCCACATTTCTCCCAGATTTACGGTATTTACAATGAAATCAAGGCCGAAAGGTTGTGATATCCATAATACCGATCCTAAGGGTTAACAACTCATGGCTTCTGGATACTAAAACAAACAACAAACAAACAGCCTCAGAACTCTAAGAAGAAGAAGAGAATAAAACTGATTTGATATGTTGTGTAACGTCTCTTGTTTGAATCAATGCAGGTTATACAAAGGCCTGTGATTGGTGGAGTGTTGGCGTGATTCTCTACGAGATGGTGATTGGTCAGCCTCCATTTTATGCAAATTCCCCTGCAGAAACGCAGTATAAGGTAACTGACACATTATCCTTCTCACTGATACTTTGAACAAGGTTATTATTTGTAATATGTGGTCTATGTTTATTGTCGACTTGGGTGTTGTTACAATGGTAAGAGCCAGAGGTCGACCACGCAGAAGATGAACCGCAGAAATATCAGAGACACTGAAAAGTACTTTTTACAAAGCGAACAGAAGGGCCCAATCCAGAGATCTCTTCCTGTCCTGAGGTATTCTAGGAGTAGAAAAACGAAGAAGAATAAGGGGTTGTAAATTTGTTTCAAAATGCAAAAATACCCAGTTCTCCCAGCTGTGGATGATTTGATGGCAGACTGCTTGACATTTTTTGTTTCTGCATTTTTATTGTGAGCCAAATATTCAGTAGCAGTGTCAAACTGCAAAATAGAAAACTTGCCTGGTAAAATCACAAACAGTCAAAAAATGCTGCTGTTGGTTCTGCAGCATTCTGTAAAGAACACGCAGTTAGTTAACTTTGATCTATTATACATTGGACTAAGAAGCCTGTATTAATTCATTAATTGTAACCGAGAAATCATTATGATAATTCATTGATTATGTCTGATAAACCTGTATTAATTGTGCCAAAGGAAGTCGCTGTGGCCAGGCCGCTAGATGCTCACCGGGGATCGGAAGGTTGTGGGTTCACTCCCTGGTCGGACTTTTAAAAAAAATAACCTTGGCTCCCAGGTCGACCCAGCCTTGAGTGGGTACCAAATGCAGTCCCGGGAAGTAAAGGCAGCCGGTGTGATGCATCACCCATCTTGTTCTGATTGGTCTATAAAAATATAATAATATATATAATATGTTTTACTTCTACAGGTGATAAACTGGAAGGAGACACTATCCATTCGTCACTGTACCAACATTTCTCCAGCAACCACCGATCTGATTCTTCAACTCCTGCAAGGTCCAGAAACCAGGCTCGGCCGTAACGGTGCCTCTGAGGTCAAAGAGCATCCCTTTTTCGCAGGGATCAACTTCCAGGGGTTACGTCGACAGCCAGCACCCCTTAAACCCACCATACGCTATCTGACAGACACTTCAAACTTTGACCCAGTTGACCCAGATAAACTGCGGACTATCGACTCTGATGCCTTGAAAAAGTTCGACTCAAAACTAGAAAATGGAAAGCATCCGGAACATGCATTTTTTGAATTTACTTTCCGGCGGTTTTTTGACGATGGTGGTCATCCTTGCACTGTGCCTTCCCCGCCAGATCTTGAGTCGAATTCTCCGGTGTATGTGTAACTGTCCTATCATATTCTTTCTGCAATTATCTGATATTATGTTGTTTGTTTTGGACATAATTATGTTGTGCCTATTGCAACAAAACTGCGATTCTTGTGCCTTTCAGCTGACACATCTGGAATCTTCCTGGCATTTATTTAACAAGTTAACTTTCCTGGGTTCAAGGTTATTATCAAATATAGGTCAGACTGAATTGTTTTTTTTTTATCTCTGACTAAAATTTTTCTCTAAATTATGGAAAATGAAATTGTCTAAATGGACCCAAAATTGGAAAATACAATGAAACAAATTGTGAAAACAATAAAAATCTGAAATTAGAAAAACTTAGTTTTTACGAGAACACATTCATGAAAATAATGGGCATTGTGGTTAGAAAGCCTTCTTCAGCATTAAAAAAAAAGCTATGTTAACACTAAAAAAACCACAGAAGAGTCACTTGAATGTTTAAAGGATTGATTCTAGATGTTCCCTGTGTGGGTTCCAGAGTCCCACCGTGGAGTGGGAACAAGAATAGATGTTCCCTGTGTGGGTTCCAGAGTCCCACCGTGGAGTGGGAACAAGAATAGATGTTCCCTGTGTGGGTTCCAGAGTCCCACCGTGGAGTGGGAACAAGAATAGATTCACTGCCCTTTGACAAGCATCAGTTGACTATGAGGGGGTTTCCTTTGAAGTCAGAGTGCATGACCGAGAGGCAAGGAACCAACATGCTGCATAAAAGTAAGCCTGATCTTTAAAATGAATGTGCATGCAAAACTCTGGAACAAAACTTAAAGTCCAGAAACGGATGGACAATCAGAACTTTCTGCCAGAGTTTACAGCTGGTGATCAAACAGAAGATTCTAGGAATTGTCGGCACATCCTTGAGCATAGAAATAAAATTGGTTTGTTTTAGGATACTGATGAAGGCATTTTAGTTGCAGCATAAATTTATTTTTCAGTCGTGATTGTTTTCTTTTAAGCTGGTCAGTTCTACTATTCGTGTTTCATCAGATTTACTCATTTAATAAATTATGGGATGTTACTAGAGAAAAACTGGCCAATGTTAAACATTGTTGACCATTGTTGATGATTTTAGTTTCATAAAATGATTGATCACAAACGTAGGTATGGTTCACATTTTTTGGAGTGTGCACTCACAGAGAGAGAGGAGGAAAGAGAAAGACACATGTACACACATCACATATGCACACCACATCACATACATGACACACATCACATAATGACACACATCACACACACCATATGACACACCACACATGACACACATCACATACATGACACACAGCACACACACCATATGACACACCACACATGACACACATCACATACATGACACACATCACACACACCATATGACAGCACATATATGACACACATCACACACACCATATGACACACAGCACATACATAACACACAGCATTTAGATGACACACATCACACACACCATATGACACACATCACATACATGACACACATCACATACATGACACACATCACACACAACATATGACACCACACATGACACACAGCACATAGATGACACATCACACACACCATATGACACACAGCACATACATGACACACATCACACACATCATATGACACACCACACATCACACACACCACACATGACACACAGCACATGACACACATCAGCGCATGCACCCAGTCGCACACAAAACATAGTTCTCCCCCACACACACAAGTCAGTTTTCAAAGTCCAGATGATTAACTTGTTTGTTTTGTCTCTTGTCATTAATTTATAAATCATGTTATTTATAAAACAAGTTTAAACGTTATCAGATCTCGATAAAAATTAACGCCAAATACAAATATAAGTTTAAAAAAAAAAATGTTAAGTCAGTAAGACCAAGCAACATTTACTTGGTGACATGGTCACTATTTCGCCAGCCACCTTTACTTTCCCAGAATATTTTTGGGCATTCAGTTTAGGATTAGTTTACCAGAGAGTCCAGGTCAGTGGAATAAAAACATTCACACTTCAGACGAGATACAAACGCACGACTGCCAGGTTGGCAGGCAGACAGCACATTTTGCTGGCCACTGCTACCATGGCTACCAGTGTAGAGTTGTATCATTGTAGACAGCAACAGTGCATATTCTTGTCTAGATTATGTGTGTTGGGGGGGAGGGGGGAGTGTTAAACCAGGAGTTGCTTTTTACAACATGATTGTTAAAGAGGCAATGGATCTATTATTTATTAGTCAAAAATTGGGCTCTTCATGTGGAGGAGATATGATCAAGCCCCAAAAGTTTCACTGCGGTTTTTTCAATTTTTTAAATAAACATTTATGGTGGCTGTACAATTTAAAAGTTGTACGAGTGGTACCAGAATTGTCATTGCAAAGGAGCAGTGGTGAGAAAAGACAGTAAGTAGTTCATTCACTAGGTAAATGCAGAAAGACCTGGCAACCCATGAATGTTCACCAGTCAGGCAGCACATCTGTGGGTATACTGTACCTGGGAATGTAGTCCATGATTCCGGCCAGTGTAAAGCATTTCAATTCTTGGAATGTTGGCCAAGCACAGTTCATTGATGATCTCCACCAGGGAACAGTGCTCCATAATCCTGACCTGGTTTGTTTGAATGACAGGTGAAGCTTTTGAGGCAGTAGGTTCATCTGTTAGTTTCCCTTGGGGAAGCCCACATGACAGGTGACACCTTCAAGGCAAGTAGGTTCATCTGTTAGTTTCCCTTGGGGAAGCCCTCATGACAAGTGACGCCTTCAAGGCAGTAGGTTCATCTGTTAGTTTCCCTTGGGGAAGCCCTAATGACAGGAGATGCCTTCAAGGCAGTAGGTTCATCTGTTAGTTTCCCTTGGGGAAGCCTTTATTCTTGTGATACACTTCCAGTCTATTGTTGGAAGATTGTGAGTGGGGCAAGAGAAGAGCGGGGGGGGGGGGGGGGGGGGGGCTCTGGAAGAAGACAGATTTTTGTCTGTTGTACAACATGTGCCTTGGTTTGTTGAGATGAATATCTGATGGCCAGTTTTCTGTCTGTCTGTTGTTAACATGCCATAATTGTTATGTTTGGTTTGTATGTTTTTGTATGGTCAGTTTTCTGTCTGTCTGTTGTTAACATGCCATAATTGTTATGTTTGGTTTGTATGTTTTTGTATCGACAGATGATTTAGACTTGACTTTTTCCTGTCACATAAAATATTTTATTTCAAGCTTTATTTGATTTCACTTCAATTCTTCCTGTGGTGTCGTTTGGTTTCGTTTACTTTCCTTTAACATGCCTATTTGTGTGGAAAAGCTAACGCAACATCATGGATGTCAAAAGGCTGAGGAACACTGCTATAAACCACATCATCATCATTAGTTCTCGTTAAGCCTAGTGGCACATGAGGCTTCAGAGAGGGCTTTCCATGCTTTCCTGTCCTGTGCAATCTTCATTGCAGTTTTCCATGTCAAAGATGCCACACTCAGGTCACTTTCCATCGTTCGTCTCCGTGTTGTTTTTGGGCGCACCTTTTTTTTTTCTTTCCCTCTGGTATCCATGTGAGAGCTGTTTTGGCAGGTATGAAGAAATTAAAATCTTCAGGGCCAGATAACATCAGGATGGAAGAATTAAAAGCTGCTGGTTAACTAGGCCTAGAAGTTTGGACAAAATTGTTTATTGATATTTAAAACAATCGACACATGCCAGATGTCCTTTTTTAAATCTTCTTTCAAACCATTACCAAAAAAACCTGGTGCAGTGGGATGTGGAAAACTTTGAACAATAAGTTTAATGGATCATGTAACTAAAATATTAATGAGAATTATCATGAGAAGAATAAAGTGCAAAGTTAAACCAGAAATTGAGGACAAATGAACGAACAAACCTACTTTAATTTTAAAGGGTTACAAATTGTGCACAAAGGCCAGTCTTACATTCAGCCCTTCCACACTCATCTTTCAGACCACAATTTCATGTTATCAGTAATACATGTTATGTCTATATACAAATATATATAATGAAATAACGCATACACACATTATATATTCACAATCATACAGACTAAATACACTTGTACACATACACGTGCGCACACACATACATAAATACCTACAAAAGAGCAGTATGGTTTTGTTGAAGGTAAAGGCACAAACAACGCCATATTTATCTTGAGAACGCTTTCAGAAAGAATGATTTAAATGAACAGACATCTGTATTTGTGCTTTACTGATTACACTAAAGCATTTGTTTAAGTGAAAAATGAAGAAATTATTAGAGTTTTGGAAACCTTAAACATTGATGGTAAAGATTTGAGAATAATTTTAAAAAAAAAAACATACTGGCAACAAGAAGCTGCCATAGTTTGAGGTTTGAACAACAGACCAATATAATTTCACACGGGTAGTAACCAGGGGGCATTACTAGAACGTGAAAAAATTCCAGCCCTTACCGGGGATTGAACCGGGTACCTCCACACTCGAGGTGAACACCATGCCTTGAGATCACACAGCCCCCTAAAGAAGCAGCCAAAAGGATTGACAACTAAGTTGGAATTTTTCAAAACATTAAATAAGGCGTTAGACAGGGATGTGAACTTTCATCTGAACTGTTCAATTTGTACAGTGAAATAATAATTAGATCCATTCATGGTATGCCAGAAATAGTGGTTGGTGGCCATATTGTTAACAATCTGCGATATGCTGACGATATAGTTGTGGTCACTGAAAATGAAATGCAATTGCAAAAAATGGTGGATGTAATTATAACAGAAAGTCAAACCAAGGGTCTTAGTTTAAACAGCAGAAAAACAGAATCACACAGAAAACATCCTCCAGAATGCAACATCAAGGTAGATGGGGACAAACCTCAAGCAGGTTGATATGTTTAAGTATTTGGGTACCCTGATAACATCAGATGGAAGATGTATTAAGGAAGTTAAATGTCGAATAGCTCAAGCAAAGGCAGCGTTTTACAAAGTAGAGAATATTTTATGCAATCTATCTTTGTCAACTGAGATGAGAATAGAATTGAAAG